CACACCAGACAGTCTGCGAGCGCGTTGGTCTTTCGCTCCGTCTGAGCCGCAATTGGACTACATATAAATAAGTAAAAAATAAATTTGCAAAAAAGGCTACAATATTGAGAGTTTGAAAATGTTTATTACTGTTGGGGACTTGTGACTTCTCCTATAGCATCTTATACTTCTTTCGAATCTCAAAAAAGAAACGTACTTACTTGTTAAGAAGTATATCCCAGACAAAAATTCCCACATGGCGTCCCACAAGATGTCACTTCCCACAGGTTCTTGCGGGTTTTTGGTAGGGGAAATATTTTTCCACATGTCCAAATTTTCCCACATGTAGAAAATTTCCCACAGGACCTTTGCTCCCACAGGAATAATTTTATTCCAAATTGGGTGTCAAAATGTGCTAAAATATTGATAATTATAAACAATAACATAAGCAAATACAGTTTTAAGTTCAATAAGTTCCAAAAAATAAATTAAATCTTTTTGACTGGCAGTATTTGAACCCAGAACCTTCCAAATACTGCCATGTCTCTTTACCATCTACGCTACGACGCCTTGTGCTAGAGGGTGGTTATTTTATTCTCACTCAGTTGGCAACACTGCGGCAGGCAGATCCGCAGGGTTGGTAGAACCTGCGGGAGAAGCGCCCCCTCCTCAGATGCGCCGCGCACTCTTAAGTGGCGCCTCCATTAGCGGCGCTGCAGCGGGGGTGACTGTGGTGACGCCCCGCCTGCTGTGGCCCTGGCCTCGTGGTCCCGGGACCACAAAGTGCGTGACAGATTTCCCAGCGGAGCAACGGCGATGGGCCACCCCGGGAGACAAGCACCCTCGAGCACCCTGCAACCGCCCCCCCCCCCCCCCCCCCCCCCCCCAATCTGTCGGGTGGGTAGCCCGTGACACAACACCAGGACCAGCAGTTCCTGTCCGGCCCCGGCAACAGGTCGCAGCACCCGAGCGCTGAGATGAGCTCCAGCGAGCATCTCGTCGATCAGGCCTAACGCAAAGCGAAACACGTGCCTGTGTACAGGGGTGGAAGTAGGGGAAGGCAAGGGGGTATTCATCGGTAAACGTGTAAATGTAGTAGTTTTATCCCCCTCCCCCAATCGTATGATTTTCCCCTCGCCCCTTGCGGGGTCACGCCTCATTGCATTTCTGTTTCCACACTGTTAAAACCTTACAAACAAATTAGTTTGTAAGCTTGCGAAGGATTTGGCAGCTTTGTATTACAAAGCATTTCCTTTGTAATACAAAGCATATCCTTTGTAGCCTGCAAATGCTTTGTAAGCTTCAACGCAAATACTTTGTAAGCTACAAAGCAAATGCTTTGTATTACAAAGGAAATGCTTTGTAATACAAAGCTCCCAAATAGTTTGTAATTGCGAAGCAAATGCTTTGTAATTACAAAGCATTGCTTCGCAAGGTTTTAACTGTGCATCCCCGAAAACTGATTTGCGCGCGGAAAAGCAAGCTCTCTAAAATAACAAAAGCGACATCATAATGCCGCCCATTGTGTCTGTATGCGCGCGATTGTCCCGCGGGTGGAGAGGGGTGTGGAAGGGGTGTGGAAGGGGTGGGGGGCGCCTGACGCTATCCGATTAGGCAGCCGCAGAGCAGCTGCGCCGTGCGGGCGGCCTATCACCGACCTTACAGGCGCTAGCCGGGCAGGCAGGTGCACTGTGCCGCCCCCGCCGGGGAGCACTGGGGCTTTAACACACCTCACAACTTTATTCAGAGCTGCGATGTCGTTTGAATCGGTCAAAAATGCAGCACTGTCGACTACTGGGCGCGACGAGATTTTCCCATCCAGTAGTCGACACCCATTGTTTTCATGATGGCAGTTGAATATCCGACCGGAGCAAAGTATGAATCTGTCCTTCAGACCTTGCTAACTAATGCTAAACGCCTGCCGGTAGTTGTGGTCTTCCACCAACTCCAAAGAGAGCCAATATTAATTGCTTCGCATCTTAGCCCAGATCTAAGGAATGTGGCCTCCGGCTCTGACGTGAATTCGAACTATGCAAGATACGCTGTGTATGGTAACGAAGAGCAGTTTCATAAAATATAAGGTGTACTTTACAATAGTCTTTGACTCCACTAAACATATGTTGCAATCGCCACTCCGAAATATGCACCCGTTAGCAGCAGGAGGGTCCTAAAGTGCAGAGTGTCGACTACTGGTACACGGTCGACTACTGGGCAGCTTACCCTACGTTCGGTAGTTTTTTTTACAGTGTACGTTGTACACATAGAAGTGTTCATCACTAAAAATTATCATGGAATTTTGTCACTGGTGACCATACGATGCATGCTGTAAAAACGTAGCAATTATTGGCTGTGGAATAGTTGTGTGGGGACAGTTTAATTCCCTTTGTCCAACTTTCGTCCTTTTTGTCTCTCTTTCTCTCCTCCCCTCCTGCCCCCC